AGGAGAAGCCGCTCGTGGCGGCCGGGCTGAGCGCCCCGCGTTTCACGGCGCCCCTTGCTCCCCGTGTCCTCTCTCCTCGCCTGCCCGCCGTGGACGTGCGCCTCGCAGGGTTCACAGAGGGTACGTATCCGCCCCACGTATTTGTTTTATTTCCCAGATTTTCTTTTAATTCGTTGATGCTCGAGCCTAGCAATAACGGTGTCGGGCACATTGGTGGTGAAAAAAAACACTTATTCGGAGAGCGTGGACTCACCATGGTCGTAGATGGTACTAAGGGATTTTTTGTTTTGCTTCTCAGACAACTGTAGGGCCAATTCCCGCTAAAGGGCTATTTGCGAACGTTTGCAGGCGATTTGCAAAGTAATTATTTGTTAAACTTCCACAATATGGAACTTGTTTTAAGAACATATAAATACGGCGCTTGTAACCTTTCAGTTCTTATTAATAAAAAGATCAAAAGAAGAACGAAAGTAAGCCTATTTTAATATATCTTTTTCTTCTCATAATATTTCTAATGTCTGTGTCCTTTGCTCTTGTTTTTTTTTCTCTTTCCTCCAGAATGAAAGACACTAGCAAAAAGAACAATATTTTTGCTCAGTTCAGGAAGAATGATCGTGACAAGCAGAAGCTGATAGAGACCGTAGTAAAGCAACTTAGGAGTTTAGTGAACGGTATGTCCCAGCACACATAGGTCTGGTAAATCAGCTACATGTACCTCGTCATGCCGAGGGGTATTTCTTAGCTGCTCTTTCTACTGAGCAAACAGTGATATTCGTTAGGACGCTGGTGTGAGCAAGTAAAGGCAAAATGCAATGGATGGCTTGTACACAGTGTCTTTGGTAAACAATTCTTTGTTATGTATTTTTAATGGATTGAATGCTATTTTATATATTGTAAACAAATGGTGGAAAATGAGATTGTACAATAAAAAAAAAAGCAATCATTGTACATGGAACAGTTGAACTGTAAATATTATTTAAATATAGCTAGACTGGATGTCCAAAATCTTGCTCCAGGTAGGAATTATTTGACAGATGACTCCTTAGTTGCGGTTTTCTGGATAAATCCTAATTTATTGTTTTTTGTTCGGTTGGTTTGGTTTTTTTTTTTTTTTATGTTCAGATACTTGCATTTCAGATGCTGCCTGTCATTTTCCTGCATAAATGTATATTAGCCTTAAAGTGATTGGACATAATTTTGTATACCAGATTTTATAGTCTGGAGGTGTGAAAGAAAAAAAAAACTTTTTTTTTTCTTTAGTACCTTTGAAAACTACCGGAGAACTAGACTCGATGCTTAGTCAACGTTCGAGCTTTGTTCTCCCGAAGCGTTTTAGTCTTGCGTTGGTGAATGTAAATAACCCTTTCTGTTCTTTACAGCGTGACTCTCTTTGCCCGGTGTTGTTTCTGTTCCTCAGGGGCACCGTTTCTGACTGTACTTTTGCAAGGGGCAATTTTGCCGCCGCCGGGGGGTCCAGGGGCGCCCGCCCCGCACCCCAGCGCCTAGCGGGGCTCCTTGCGCCCCCCCTCCTTTAGACGCGGTGAGAATGTCCGGCGAGTACGAACCAAATGCAACGTGTAATTAAAAAATAATGTACATCTCGCTGCATTTTTAAGTTATTGACGGTCTAAATACAGTAATATAAACGTTACTCGTATGCGTGTCTAATTGCGCTGCTTCAGACGCACCTTGAGGGGGTGGGAAGGGTGCGTGCGTGGCGGGGGAGCGGCCCGAGGGGGCGGTGAGGGGCTCCCGGCGCCGGGGCGGGGGGAGCCGCCCCGGCCGCGTCCCCTTCAATCAAGGCGCGGGTCTCTCGCGGCGCCAATCACCGCACTTGGCCGCGCCGCTTAAATATGCAGCGGAGACGTCACCTCCGAAGGTGGATCGGGAGCAAGTGGCCAATATCGCTATAAATGTGGCGAGAGGCGGCGAGCCGGGCGGGCCGCCGGGAGCCGGCAGCACCTCGAGAGCCAACTGCCATAGTTGTGCTCTATGAACCCTGGCACTTTTTTTTTTTTTTTTTTTTCCCTAAATTTTGGGAAAACCCGCAATGTCTAAAAAATGGGGGGGACCCAATGG